GATTCAAAGCAATTAAAATGCACTGCATTGAAAGTTCATTAGGGTTAATGAAGTTCAGTGCCTTAGACATGGCTATGAAAACCTCATCAGTTACTCGATCCGGAATACCCTGAAACGAATTGAATGTCTTAATTCCTCAGGACAAAACTGGAAAATAATAGCTATAAACAAACGCCCAAAAAAAATGCCGAACAGATACTAATGCAACTCTGTTGTAAAGAAAATTTGAGATAAATCTAGCAATATTCAGGTCTCGACCACTAATGCAACTCTACATACTTGCTTTCTCATCCAGTCTTTAACGGTTATACCATCTTGAGCCTCAACATAAGACTGTCCGCCAATTATTGCTGGCAAGAGTCCTACAGCGAACTTGACTTTCTCTGGCCAAGTAAGCATTTCACTGTTCTTTAAGATTGCCCATATTCCTGCCAATAACAATAAAATTTTACACAAGAAAACAATAGTGTAGAAAAACTTGCACGTCCTTATGCACCACCTACAGACCCTTGTGAAATAAATAAATGGAAATCTATCTTGAGCGTCGCCTCAAATATCAAAGGCACAGTTGTATGAAAACTAACTAGAGGTTTTTTCTCATTTCAAATCCTTGGCTTCTCCAATAATAAAAAGAAAACGAATCACCATTTAATGGTGCAGGTAAGACTTCAGGAAAATCGAATCGGCTAAATTCCCCTGGCTTGTTTGGCATTGCAAATATCATAGAATGCTCCTTCCACTGCAGCCGATCATTGATGCCTAGCTCTCCAAATAGGTTCTGCACATTTGGGTAAGCCCCAACTTAAAAGAAAATAAATAATCAAATTGATAAGTGATGTGATGCATAATACAAAGTATTTAAAGTTGCAACTGAGTTCTCAAACTTACAAAATATGTGTAACCCAGTCTCATACCAGTCTCCATCATCATCTTTCCACGCAGCCACCTGCGCAACGAGGGACAAATTCAGAGAAGAAACATTTTAAGCATAAAAGAATAGTAGTGAGAAGAACGTAAGCAAGGGGGCATTTTATAAACCTTTCCACCCAGGACATCCCTTCCTTCCAGCAATATCGGTTTATGACCTGCATCTGCCAAATACTTTGCAGTAGACAAACCAGCCAAACCTGGAAGCATCCAGTAGTTCAATTCATCAGTACTAGGTAAATGATTTCATTAAATAAATCTTTGACTAAATTCAGTGTAGTATTTATATTAGTTTCTAACTATAGATCCAAAAAGTACAATGTGAGAAAGAAAAATATATATATATATGCAAAATATGAACTATAGAATCCTATTGACAAAAATATCCATTAAAAAGCAACCCGTTGATTGGATTTGTCGAAAAGGCTAGTAAAGAAATCCTATGTTGAGGAATATACTTGATATCACTTATACTTTTGACACAACTGTACTCATTCCCAAGGAAGTTGGGATACTTGAGATAAATAACTAAAAAATAACATTCTAAATTTCTAAACAAAGTTCATCACCGAATAAGCACTAACAGCTAACTACATTTTAGTCGTGGTGTAAAAGGGTATGTGAATTCAAGGGAATACTAATCTATTTGCTCAAGAAACAGAAAAGGGAAAAATAATTTTAAAGATAAAGAAAACATGTTATTCCCACCTGCACCAGCAATGACTATCTTTAATGGTTTGTATGGACGTGGAGAGTTACGAAACGTTGAAGATAAATAAGCAGCTTCCAAATAATTGACTGAACTCTCAATCCCTGGTCTTGGATAGTCAATGCAAACAACCTATATAACAAACACAACATCAATGTGTTTATTCTTTCATTAACATTTCAAAAACCCCAAATCATTTAACGTTTCTTTGGGGCCATACCTTCAAAGGGGACACATCTTTTCCTGATCTCGTCATAAAAGCATGAGCAGCAGGACTCTTCAATTTACTACCCATAGCATCACTACTTGCAAATGATAGTGTATTCATTTTCCCATCAAGACAGTAGCATCTCCAAGACTGAGAGCTCCAAAGATTATTTAAGTTATTTTGCCCTCTCAAATTGACAGCAGAAACATGTCCAAATTGGGACATTTCGAAACTCGAGATTTCTTCAAAAAAAATGTTTATGAATTCAACGAGCTCCAAAATTGCAGCCCTGAAACTCTAAATATACTTCATACTTAAAAATGTATCCATATCAAGAATCCAAAGACAAATAGTTTGCATAAATACTGAAATTTAGACAACATGAAATCCTAACCTTTTAATCCTTTCAAAATTCTACCTCAAAACCCCTGATATATTAATTTGTTTATAAAACTCCTGAATTGCAAAGAAATAGATTTAACTAGAAACGAAGAACCCACTCTCAGTTAACTTCTAATTAATCTTTTTTATCCATGTCAAGAACCCCCAAAGCAAATAGTTTGCATAAATACTTACATATAGACAAGAACAAGAAATTCCAACCTATTAAGCCTTTCAAAATTCTACCTCAAAAACTCAGATATTTTATTTTGTTTATAGAACTCCAGAATTGCAAAGAAATGGATGTAACTCGAATCAAAGAACCCAAACACAGAAAAATAAAAAGCAGTAACTTTTGAACACCCTTCCGAGCACACTATCAGTTAACTTCAAATTAATCTTTTCCCAATAAAACCCCAACTCAAGATTGTTTCTTTTTAGCAAAACCAGCTCATAACCAAATGATTTAAAGAAAATGAGGAAAAAAAGCTATTCAAATTCTGTTAAATTAGAGAATTTTACCCTCCGGGCAAATCAAACGGAGGTGACACTCGAGAGAACTCTTAGTTCAGATACTGAAGAAGTGATTGAAAGGGTATTTTCAAGAACCATAATGGGTAGAGTTTACAGGCACTAAGTTATGGTGGTGTGTCATAAGAGCCAAGACGACGGGGTGGGGTGAGTGGTTACACAATAAAAATATGAATTTGGGAAGAGTAAACGGGATGTTGGTTTGGCCGCATTCGTTGGGGTTAAATTGTTTGTTATGGCCAAGAATATTCTATCCATCCGTCCGCTCGTCCAGAGTGGTCTCATTATCTTTGCATTTCTAGCACTTTCGGTGGTTAGTTTCGTGCAAAGGTTATGCCAGCCCATTTGAGCTTCTTTTTTTTTTTTAATTCATTTTTTTAAAATTTATAAACTCAAAACTTTTTTTCCTATTTTTAATCAAACATCCTTAAAAAAATCAAAATCTATTTTTAGAGAAAAATAGGCTTAAAAATTCCATGGTATACGTGCTTTCTGGGCCACAACCAATGGATTCAAGAGACAGAGGATAAGGCACAGGGGTTAAAGTAGGGACACTCATTTAGCCCATTTTAATTTACATCAAATTCAACAATTAATTTTAATCACATATTTTATAGAATACACAATTTTTTGACCACACATTTTATCAACTTCTAGAAAAAACTACTAAAAATCAAACTTTAATTCTGGGCTTAATAAACTGTGCACGTGTTAAATTTTTATTGAAAAAAATGAATATGTTACGAAGAAGTCATCAATTTTGCCCCACAAATTAGGGCTGTAAGCAAAAACAGCCAAACCGGAAAATCGAACCGAAACCGCAATTTCGAAACCGACGGTTTGGTGCCACGTGGACCCGTCAACGAAATGGTTTTGAACCAAAC